GGGGGCAGCGGGTGTGGCTTCCCTGGAGGGAGTCTCCCCCCTTCCCCTGAGACTGGCCAGGGAGGTTGATGCTGCCCCCTGCCGGCCGTCCCACCCCTCCCAGCGGAAGGCAGAGAGGGTCCAGGAGGGCTTCTCTGCCTGAGACGACACCCCGCCCCTGGGGTGGGCCAGCCAGGCCTTCCAGCTCATGGCATGAGGAGGCAGCTCCCCACCCCCCAGTCTAGTCACAGAGCGGGAAGGGGCCTGGGGCCGCCTACCATGGAGGCGGTCTCATGGTTCTGCTCAGTCTGCAGGAGGATGGCGCAGTGCTGTTCGCACAAGTCCAGGTGCCCCAGGAGCAGGTCGAGCCTCGCCAGTGCCAGTACCACCTGGGACCAGACCAGAAGAGGGACTGAGCAGCGCCCACCTCGGGGAGGCTGGGGCGGTCCTGGACGGCCCTTTCCCTCACACCCTGTCTCTGCAGTGGCTCTGCCTTCGAAGGACCTCTCCACCCCGGGAGGTACTGCCCTTGGCCCTCATCCCGTGCCATCGGCACTACGGTCACGCCATGCGTCTTTTTTTTTTTTTTTTTTTTTTTTTTTTTATTTTAGGGAGATTTTTGCTATAGGGCACATGCACTCGCCGGGAAGCGAGAGCTAGAGAGACACTCCCCAGGGGGCATGGCCACGCTGCAATCCCTTCTCCTCCATTCTCTTGGGATTTTGGGCACATACGTGCCTGGAGTGAGGTGTGTTATTTTTTTTTTTTTTTCAGAGGTTTTTGCTATAGGGCGCATCCGCTTGCCAGAAAGACAGAGAGAGACAGAGAGACAGAAAGCGAGAAATCACCCCCCAGGGCAGATGGCCACGCTGCAATCCCTTCTCCTCCATTCTCCTCTCGGGATCTTGAACATGCAGGCACATGCGCCTGGAGGGAGTTTTAAGCCGTTGGGTCTGGGATTGGAACCGTGGTCGACCATGTGGGAGTCCAGTGATGTAGCTATTATGCCATCTGCTGGTCCCACACTTACTAGCTAGCCTCTGAGGTCGGGCCTGGCAACCGCGTGCTCATCCTTCAGGCTGCCCGCCGTGCCCAGCCTCAGGCAGTGGTGCCCTGCTCCAAACACGGGCAGGTATGGCATAGCTCAGGGTAGCCGGTGCTCTCCTCTCCACCCCCTGCTGCCCCGCTGCATCTTCAGGGCTTAGCGCAGTACCTGGCACCTGTTCACTTATTATTTAATCTTTTTTTTCCTATTTGCTATAGGGGATGTGCACTCATCAGAGAGAAATAGGGGGCAGGGGGTGCAGGAGAGACGTGAGAAAGCAAGCTGCCAAGTCCGGGACTAGAACTGTGGTTGGTCATATGGGAGCCCAGTGCCCCAACTGCCAAGCCACCCACTGGCCCCTTGCTTACTTATTTTTGCCAGAGGGTGCGCACGCTTGCCAAAAAGTGAGAGAGGGAGAGCGAGAAAGCACCTCCCAGTGTGCAGTGGTCGCACCACAATCCCTTCTCCTCCACCTCTCCACTCTCTCAGGATTTGGGGCTCACGTGCACCTGGCAGATTTTTTAAGCCTTCGGGGCCAGGACTCAAAGCATGTGGCCATGTGGGATCCGGCTCCCTTAACCATCCGGCCGTGGGGCTGGCCCTATTTGTAGCTGTTCAAAGAGTAGAGAGTAAACAGTGAGTGTACGGGTCACCAAGCCCTTCTTCCATTCTCTTAGCATAAACTAGGCCACGGATCCCTCCCCTGGAACCACATCTTGCCCCTCATGACTTTAAGCCCCTTCAGAAGCTCAGCCTGGGTTCGTGCCCAAAGCGGCCACCACCCTCATCATCTCCCCACCCCCTGGAGGACCTGAAAATGGCTGGTAGACAGACATGACTTTCGGCAGTGTCTTCCCCCTGCGCCCCCAACAGTGGCTGCCCAGCATGAGCCTTGCTCCGAGGACTGCAGCCGGCTCTCATCCTGGGCCGCCGTGGGCTGGCCTGCCCGTCCTGCACACTGGCAGCTCCTCAGAGGGAGCCGGAGGAGGGCCTGGCTCCTGGGCCTGGCCAGGGCGCTGAGCAAGGGGCTGGGCCTGGAGGGCGGGAGCAGGGTCCCTGTGCAGGCTGCTCACCGTGTTGTCGGTGGGCGCGTAGGAGAGGGCATCCCTGTAAGAGCACAGCGCCTTGGCGTGCTCCTTCTCTTCCAGGTAGTGCTCTCCAAACTGGATGCAGATGAAGGCTGCCAGCTGCTTCTGGGAGGGGATCATTTCTGGTTGCTCCAACGGGACTCGCTTTAGTATCCGAGACTGGAGGTTCAAGGCCTCGAGAAGCCAATAAAGCCAGGATCAGACACCCGGAGCCTGACACGCCGACGTGTACAAGCCCCAAGCTCTTATTTCAGAGCGCCAGCAGTGTTGGAAAGGGCATCTCGAGTGCCCTTCGGCAAATCTGGGTCACTCTGGACAAGCGAGGTCACTGGCTGAGGACACGGGGGGGGGCAGGCTGGCACTGCCTCCGGGCTGGAGCAGAGCAGAGGCTCTCGAACAAGCATGTCACGGTCCTGACCCATTTGCCTGGTTCCACCACCTTGAGGCACTAGGTCTAGCTTGCTTCAGCTGCCCTACAGGCTAGACCGAGCACACAGTAGGTGTGTTTGATGGAGGTGTGTTTTCTGGCTACGTGGCTCCGCTGGGAATTTGAGGCAGTCCTCACAGACACCCACGATCCAACATGATCAGATGAGTGAACACCACACCTCGGGGCCAGAGGAAATGACAACGCTGGGGTTACCCTTCAGGAAGCGGGCAAAGCAGCACTTGGTACCCCACGGGGTCACACAGAGGAATGGGAACGGGGTGTGGGGGGAGGCGAGGGAACAGATCGGCTCAAGCAGTCAGAGAATGGGCTCTCCCTGCAACTACAGAAGGTGCCCCGGAACAAGTGCGAGGCTACACGCCAAGGAGGGGGTGATGCGCACGGCCAGGGGCTCCCAGTCAGGGACAAAGAGCGCAGGCGGGGACAGGCCAGACCTGTCTATCCCAGCTCCACCACTCGCGAGTCAAGTTGGCCTCTGTACCCGCAAATTCCGCATCCACGGACTCAACCAACCGCAGATGGAAAGTATTTTATAAAAGAAAGAAAAGAAATAAAAAAAAACAACATATGCGATTGTAAAAATAATATAAATAAAATACCGAACAACAGCTATTGATATTTATATAGCATTTACATTATATTAGGTGTCAAAGCAATCTGGAGATGACATTCTTTTAAAGATTTCATTTTATTCATGATTATTATTATTTAATTTGCTATAGGGCACGTGCACTCACCAGAAAGAGAGAGAGAGAAAGCAAGACGCCAGGTCCGGGGCTTAAACCACAGTCGGTCATGTGGGAGTCTAGCGCCTCAACCACATGCCATCGGCTGGCCCCTGGGAATAACTTTTAAAAAACAGAACTAATTGGGACTAGCAGTTGGCATAATGGCTAAATCGCTGGACTCTTGTTGACCGTGGTTCAAGTTCCAGACCTGGTGGCTTAAACTCATGCCGGGCGCATGTGCGTGCGTGCCCAAGATCCCAAGAGGAGAGTGGAGTACAAGGGATTGCGGCGTGGCCATTTCCCCTGGGGGGTGATTTTTCGCTTTCTGTCTCTCTGTCTCTCTCTGTCTTTCTGGTGAGTGCACATGCCCTGCAGCAAAAACCTCTCCAAAAAAATAAATAAATAAAGTAACCAACTGGGGCCAGCAAGTGGCGTGGTGATTAGGACAGTTGGACTCCTATAAGGCTGACTGCGGTTCAAGCCCTGGACCTGGCAGCTTGCTTTTCTCATTTTTATTCTCTCTGTCTCTCTCTGGTCAACTTCAAAATAATAATAATAATGACAATGAATAAAATTAGATTAAATAATTCTTTTTAAAAAAAGGAACCAGGGACCAGCAGTTGGCGTAATGGCTATGTTGCTGGACTCCCATGTAGGTGACCGCGGTTTGACTCCTGGACCTGGTGGCTTAAAACTCACGCTGGGTGCGTGTGTGTGTGTGTGTGCCCAAGATCCCGAGAGGAGAGGAGAATGGAGGAGAAGTGACTGCAGTGTGGCCATCCCCCGGGGGTGGCGGGGGTTGTTTCTCACTTTCTGTCTCTCTGTCTCTCTCTCTGACTTTCTGGCGAGCGCACGCGCCCTATGGCTAAAATCTGTCCGAGAAAAATAAAAAGGAACCGATCACCTGTGGATATGAAGGAATGACTGTACTTGACTTGGGACACATTTTTTTTTTCTTTCTTTCCTTTATTTCCCCCCTATTTCAAGAAGGCACATGCAATTTCCAGAGAGAGAGAGAGAGAGAATGCACCCTCCGTGGGACATGATGACTGCAATCCTCCCTCCTCCATCCCTCCCTCTGTCGGGAATTTGGGCAAGCACACGCATGCACCTGGCACGCCTCCCAAGCCACTAGGCCAGGATTCAAACTGCATTCAGCCAGATCCATCCCCTTCTGCACAGCTCCCAACTGCTGTGCCATGGGGCCAGCCCTGGGCACATTTCTTAACCTCTCTGAGGCGAGTGGGATGAGAAATCTGCTCTATGGGACAAGCACAGTGCTTATCTCAGCGAACCACCGTGAGAATGAAGTTAAGAAAGCAAACATGCAGCACAGGGCCTGGCAGAGAGCTTTCAGAAGCACGGGGGCTTTGTCATCGTCATTGTTGCCACCAGCGTCCGGGAGGACAACAGCACGGCCTTCCTTCCTGCCTCCTAGCCCAGCTCTGAGCACTGCGGTGAGCCATCACCGAAGCATCAAGGAATGGGCAGAGGGTGGAGGTCAGGGGCGTAACTGGTGGGCCCTCTCTTGTGAAGTGGGCTGAGGCCTTCCAGACTCACGGCCCTTTCATTCCTCTTCAGCCCCCACCGGGAAGTGCCAGATCAAGTCTCCTTGTGGATTACCTTGTTTAGAGTCTCTATCACGTCTTCTTTTTTATGGCTCTTGTAAACCTTCGCCAGCAAAAGCAAGCACTTAACATCATTCGTCATGGAGGGGATGTCATCGGCTCCTAAATGGAAACTCGCATTAGTGTTCTGGAGGGGCAGGACCCCAGCTAACGGGGGGAGGGAGAGGGACAGGGTGACTGCTCCGAAGGCCAGAAGTGAGCTCGGAGGCTGTCTCACCCACCGGAGTCATGATCCAAGGCCTGCTTCAGAACCTTCTCGGCTTTGCTGAACTTCTTTAACTTCAGGAGCAGTTCGGCCAGGTGGCAGCACAAGAAGTCCTGCCCGCTGATCTTCTGGGCGGCTTCGTAATAATTAATGGCCTTCACGCACACGGGAAATAGTGGCCTTGGGTCTGGTTCTGCACTCTGGTGCCTGACACAACGCTCCCCAGTGACTGCAATGCCAGTGTGCCGCTCCAGGAGTAGAAGCCCAAGGGGAAAAGGCCCCCTGGCTGGCACAGGGCTGTGGTGGAAGTGGCTGTCCATGCCCGTCCAGGCTCCCCGCTCTGCACCCTCCTCCACTCCCTGTGGCCGCCCCAGCCTCCCCGCCCCGGCCCCGCTCACTTTGGCGTACTGGTGGGTCTTCACGTAAGCCTGGCCGATCCTGCTCACCAGGGAGGCATCGTGTGGGTTCTTTCTATAGGCCTCGTCGTAGACCTCCAGGGCCTTCTCGGGCTGTGAGAAAACGTCAGAAGGCCTTCCCTTCTGCTCTTCTGCAGAAACGGGACTCGGGTGGGGGGCAGCAGGCCAGGCTGGGAGGCCCCTCGCTTACCTCCTGAATGTTCATGAGCGCATCGCCCAGTAGCAGGCTGGTGTGGGGGCCAGGCAGGTGTTCACACAGCTCCCTGCAAGAATAAGCCAACGCCGTACCTCAGGCCTGTGCGCCCCTTGTGTTTCTGAATCCATCTCTTTCTCTTCCCCAACTCCATCCTGGCTGACGTCCATGCATTCATCATCCGGTACTTACTGAAAACCCCCTGTGCGCGAGGCACGTGCTGGCTGAAGACCCACTGTGCGCGGGGCACGTGCTGGCTGAAGGCCCACTGTGCGCGGGGCACGTGCTGGCTGAAGGCCCACTGTGCGTGGGGCACGTGCTGGCTGAAGACCCACTGTGCGTGGGGCACGTGCTGGCTGAAGACCCACTATGCGTGAGGCATGTGCTAGCGCCCTTGGGCAGGCTTTCCTCTGCCATGGGACCAGGGTCAGAGTTTCCACCTGGCCCTGTTGATGCAGACCCCTGTCATGGATGGGACGTCTTTGGCTGCTAAATAGCAACTCAACGTAATGTTCTCCAGTCCCTGAGAAGCTGCACTGGTTGTAGCTAATGTGGGGAGGGAGAGGGGCAAGTAGCAACTGCTCTTTCTCTTCTTCTTTTCTTTTCTAAGATTTATTTATTTAATTCCATTTGTTATTATTGTTATTTTTTTAAATTTGACCAGAGACAGACAGAGAGAGAGAAAGGGAAAGTGAGAAAGCAAGCTGCCAGGTCTGGGACTTGAGCTATGGTTGGTCATGTGGGAATCCAGCGCCCTTAACCACCACATCACCTGCCGGCCCCCACACTGCTCTTTCTAAATCTCCAACCTGCCCATGCCGCCCTCCTGTCCACGGGCTCCTTCCTGCCAGATAGCCTCCCCTGCTCCCAGCACCTTCAGTACCACCTTGAAATGGCCTGGATGGGGCTGCCCCATGGCCCCGGTAGTTAACTGCCCCATGGCCAATCATGCGGTTCCAATCCTGGCTCTGGCAGCTTGGAAAAAATGCTGGGCACATGTGCACACGTACCCCACATCCCGACAGAAATGGAGGAGGAAGGGGGCCAGCAGGTGGTGTGGTGGTTGAAGGTGCTGGACTGCCACATGGCTAGCCATGGTTCGAGTCCCAGACCTGGTGACTTGCTTTCACACACACATACACACACACACACACACACACTGTCCTTCTCTGGTCAAATTAAAATAAATAAATAGATGAATAAATAAATAAAGTTAAAATTTTAAAAATCTTAAAAAATGGAGGAGTAGGGACTGCGGCATGACTACGCCCCGCTGGGGGGGGGTGCTTTACATCTCTGTCTGTCTCTTTCTCTGGTGAACACACATACCCTTAGGCAATGTTTTAAAGAAAATTTGCTAGAGGGTGCATGCACTCACCAGAGAGAGACAGAGAGAGAGTGAGAAAGCACCCCCCTATAGGTGGTACAGCGCAATCCCCTCTCCTCCGGGGTTTTGGGCACATACACACACACACCTGGCATGCTTTTCAATCTGCTGGGTCTGGGACTCAAACTCTGCAGCTGGCCATGAGGATCCAGTGCCTCAACCACCATGCCACCAGCCAGCCGCACTCAGGAGAATTTTTAGAAGAAGGAGAAGAGAAGGAGAGGGAGAGGGAGAAGAAGAGGGAGAAGAAACGACCTGGATGAGGTTTTGCCTGAAGACGGTATTCAGAAGGCACACGAGTAGCACTTTCGCCACCAAATCATGCAGGGACAGTAGCTGGAGGCTTCGGACCCCACACTCCACGCTTGACCTTCATCCACATCGGCCACACCTGAGTCACGGACATTCCCACAAGAACAGGTGGCGCCAGGGGCCAGAGCGGAATGTCCCATGTGGTTCCTTCTGTACCTCTTCTAGGAACCAGGCCCACAGGGTCCCCTGAGTGTGAGTTGCATGAGGAGGGGGCAGGACGGCCAAGCAGGGTCCAGCTGATTCTGTGTTCCCAGAACCTTTCCATGAGCAGCCGTACTTAACCACACTCAAATTCTTTTTCTTTCTTCCTTTTTTTTTTTTTGAGAAAGATTTTTGCTATAGGGCATGTGTGCTCGCTGGAGAGACAGAGTAGACAGAGAGATAGATATATATAAATCACCCTCTGGGGGGAATGGCCATGCTGCAATCCCTTCTCCATGCTCTTAGCATTTGGGGCATGCACACATGGACACCTGGTGTAAGTTTCAAGTCACTGGGTCTGGGACTCGAACCGTGATCAACTATGTGAGAGTCCAGTGGTGTAACCGTTACACCCTCTGCTGGTTCTTCTTTTTCTTTTCTTTCTTTCTTTCTTTTTAAAGTTTTTAAAAAGATTATTTATTTAATTTATTCATTCATTTTCATTTGACCAGAGAAAGACAGACACACAGAGAGAAGGAAAGTGAGAAAGCAAACCACCAGGTTCGGGACTCAAACCGTGGTCAGCCATGTGGGAGTGTCCAGCACCTTAACCACTACGCCACCTGCTGGTCCCTCTTTTTTTTTTCTTAATTGTCAGAGGGCACGCGTGTTTGCCAGGAGAAAGGCAGACGGAGGGAGAAAGTACCCCTGCTGGGTCTGGTCACAGTGCTACCCCTTTTCCTCCATTTCTCCACCCCCTTGGGGTTGGGGGCATGCACGCATGTGGGCCCAGCGTGTTCTGTAAGCCACTGAGGCTGGGATTCCAACCACAGTCGGTCACGTGGGCTCTGGCTCCCTTAACCACCAGGCTATGAGTGGAGCACGCTCACCTCCTACCACAAGGGAAGGCCTATTCCTTCATCAGATAAACCCCGAGGACACGTTCTGCAGACCCAGGTGGAGAGAAACACTCCCTAAGACACCATCGGAGAGGAAGCTGCCATGGCCCGGCCTGGACTTACCGGTAGCAGCCGATGTAGAGACGGGTGTCTTTGCGGGTCTGCAGGTAGATGCTGGCCATCTTCTCCTTGGCCTCGGTGTAGCAGGGCTGCTTGGGAGAGACGCCCCTCAGCACGCTCAGCGCCAGGTCCGCGTTGCCTTTGCTCAGCGCCAGGTCTGCGTTGGCGAGGGTGAGGCGGGTCTCTTCCGGCGTGCCGCCAAACTCATTGATGGCATCCTGCACGACCTTGGTGGCCTCATGCTAGAACACAGGGCACAGGCTGTCCTCTGGTGTCATCGGGGCGGCCTGGCAACACTTCCACTTTCTCTGGGCGGGGGGACCCAAGAGATGGCATGGGGGTTACATCATTGGACTCCCACATAGTTGACCACGGTTCGAGTCCTGGACCTGGTGGCTTAAAACTCATGCCGGGTGTGTGTGTGTGTGTGCGTGCCCAAGATCCCAAGAGGAGAATGGGGGAGGAGAAGGGATTGAGGCTTGGCTGTCCCCTTCAGGAGGTGATTTCTCACTTTCTGTCTCTTTGTCTCTCTCTGGTGAGCACATGTATCCGATAGCAAAAAATCTAAAATCAATCAATCAATCAATCAATCAATAAATACAAACTTCTGGGGAACTTACAGTAACCCCCCCTTCCCAGTCTGCCCTGGGAGAGGAATGAAACATGGAGACAGAGCCGGGCTCAACCAGGAACAGTCCTGCCACACAGAAGGCAAGGACGAAACGGCCCACGTCAAGACTGGACCGTGACACAGCAGGACGGCAGCTGGGCCGACGAGGGAAGGTCCCGGGTGGGCCGGCACGTGCGTGCACGCCCAAGAGCCAGACTGCCGATGATGTGGGTGGACTGCGGTGTGAGGACAGCTCCGAGGCAGAAGAGAGAGAGAAGCTCCTTTAAAATCTGTCTACCGTTCTTGGATGACAAGGGAAGGTGCCCAGCTAGCATGGGGGTATAGGAACCCCAATTATAAGAGCCTGCTTGCTCCTTAGCAGCTCAAAGTCTCTTCAAGATTCTTCCCTATGTGAGACCTAAAGACACATCTCAGGAGACCAGCAGGTGACGTGGTGGTTAAGGTGCCGGACACTCCCACATGGCCGACCATGGTTCGAGTCCTGGACCTGGCGGCTTGCTTTCCCATTTTCCCTCTTCTCTGTCTCTCTCTGGTCAAATTAAAATGAATGAATGAATGAATAAAATTGAATAGATAATTTTCTCTTAAAAAAAAAGAAAAGGACACATCTTGTTCTTTCCTGCTTTGGGCTAAAGACTGAAGGAAGGTAAGTACAATAAACATCCTTCCGCGTTGCCATCTTTGCCCACAAGGCAGTTTTCATCTCTAAGGACAAAAGGGCTCATGGGGTAGGTCACTCTCCAGCAGGAGCATCACAGGAGGAGGCTGAAGGCCCTCGCGTGGGTGGATCACAGAGATGGTCCTGGAAAACCCCTCGCTATGAGCAGGTGAGGCCCGAGGCCGGTGATGCCCAGCTCCCCTAGGCCTTTCCCTGTCTCTATGCTCCCCTTTTTCCAGATTACCCCTGGGAAGGCAGACGGCGGCCTTCCTGCCTCTGCCCAGCCAGACTTCCCAAGGCCCTGGGGCTGTCTCTTACAGCTGAGCAGGCGGTATCTTGCACAACTCCAAGAGGACACAGTTCATAAAGATCATGGCCCGTGCTTGCTTCAGCAGCACGTAAACCTGGAATGATACAGGCGAAACTAGCGTGGCCCCTGCACAAGAGGACAGGCAAATCCACGAAGTGCTCCAGATTTTTAGGACAGAAGAATGCGAGTCGACGAGTGGAATCGATATAAAACTATAGACCAGCAGCGGAGGAAGCAAGTCGCTGGCCGTTCTGTGCCTGCTCTGCCCCTCCTCCCCAAAGCTTATAGAACTTACCAAATGCAGATAGCACTAGGTAGTGTTCGGTGCTGAGGAAGGTGGCTAGGACTATGCCTCTGATTTCATTATCACACACTAGATGCACGCTTTGGAAATCCATACTGTAGCCCACAAACAGGTACAATGATTGTGTGTAAGCCAGGAATCATAATTTATTTATTTATTATTTTTTTGAGACTTTTTTTTGCTATCGGGCACGTGCGCTCACCGGAAAGACAAGAGAGAGACAGAGAGACAGAAAGCGAGAAATCACCCCCCAGGGGGGATGGCCATGCTGCAATCCCTTCTCCTCCATTCTCCTCTTGGGATCTTGGGCACGCACGCACATGTGCCCAGCGTGAGTTTAAGCCACCGGGTCCAGGACTTGAGCCGTGGTTGACTACATGGAAGTCCAGCGACATAGCCATTATACCAACTGCTGGTCCCAAGGAATCATAATTTAAAAATAAAATTTCTTTTCATATATAAGAAACAAGAAATGGAAAATAACCTGTTGAAGATACCATGTATGGTAATATATTTGATTGAGACACTATCCAGTGTATTCTGGATGGGAAAACTCACTTTGTAAGCTGCAATGATATACAGTGAATGAATGTAAAATAGATAAATAAATAAATGTGTTTTTTTAAGAATTATTTTATTTAACTTTATTTATTTATTTATTTTAATTTGATCAGAGAGGGACTGTGTGTGGATGAGAGTGAGAGAGAGAGAGAGAGAGAGGGAGAGGGGAAGTGAGAAAGTGAGCTAGAGGGTTTGACACTCAGATTGGAGTCAGATAACCACCACGCCACCTGCTGGCCCTGAATAAATTTGTTTTTACTGGCAGAGGATGTATGCGCATGCCAGAGAGAAAGAGAAAGAGAAAGAGGGGGAAAACGTAACCCTCCACCCCCTGCTATGGGGCATGGGCATGCTAAAATTCCTTCTATTTCATTCCTCCATCTGCTGGGATTTGGGGCGCACGCACGCGCACGCACACACACACGTGCCCAGTGTGTTTTTCAAGCTGTGGGGGCTGAGATTTTAATCATGATTGTCTGTGTGAGATCTGGCCCAACTTAAAAATCACTTTTAAATAAAAATATGGACCAGCAGTTAGCGTAATGGCTATGTCGCTGGGCTCCCATGTAGTCGACCGCGGTTTGAGTCCCAGACCCAGTGGCTTTAACTCACGCCAGGAGCGTGTGCGTGTGTGCCCAAGATCCCATGAGGAGAATGGAGGAGAAGGGGTTGCAGCGTGGCCATCCCCCCTGGGGGGTGATTTCTTGCTTTCTGTCTCTCTGTCTCTCTCTGTCCGTCTGGCGAGCGCACACGCCCTATAGCAAAAACCTCTCCAAAAAAAGAAAGAAAGAAATACAAATAAAAAATAAAAATAAAAATTGGGGATTAAAAAAAAATTACGATGTGACTGGAATCTACTGGGTAGACCCTCAGGCCTCCGCGGGGCCTCTGCAGGACCAGGCCCCAGAGAAGGGCAGGTGTTTCTTACCAGCTCCCCGTTCAGCCGGAGGGCGTCGGCCAGTTCCAGTAAGACAGACACCCGCTCGCTGGGCTGCAAGGAGGGCCTGCGGGACTTCTTGCCCCCTTCTGTCTTCAGAGTCGGCACTTTCGTGATCATTTGCAGTGTCTTTATGGCCTCTGCATAGTCTCCAGACTTGCTGAGGGCCCTGGCCTTGATAAAGTGGTAGAGGGGGTGATCTCGGACCTAGGAGAAGCAGAGCCGAGAGTGGGCTCCCCTTGAGCACCCTGCTCTGAGCTGGGTCACACAGCATAAAGCCCCCGGAGCCCACTGAGCCACCCTGCCCTTGGGCCCGTGGGAGGGTCTGAGGGATTCGGGGAGGCGCCAGGGCTACTCTCCCAAGATAGCAGGGGCTGCCGCTCGCTGGGCTTTGGGGTGCAGAGGATCCCCACCTGGAAGTTGTGGCTGACCCCCAGCTCCAGACAGTGGGAACACATGGCAAAGTTGCCCTGAGCCAGGTAGATCTGGGCCATGAGGAGGTGGGCGTCCACGAAGGTGGGGTCCAGCTCCAGGCAACGCTGCAGGGTGCTCTGGGCATTCTCCAGCTCTCCTGGAAATAACCAACCAAACTGTACATGCAGGGATCCACGGGGACTCCCGAGCCCCAACATGGAGAGGCAGAGCGTCCTGTCACCCAGTTCTGTTCCTTCTCACTCAGAGGTTCCTTCCGAAAATGAAAACCAGTTTGTACCTTGACCCAGACAACAGGCAGGCAACTCAAACCTCAGTGCCATGCCCTCTGGAACCCTCGGGGAGACGGTTAAGTCCCTCCACCGCTCCATCTGGAAGCTCAGGGAACATGAAGGTCTCAATATCCCAGAGCTTAACCACAGAGCAAAACCTAATAACAACAGCAGCGCGACAGCCACATGTTAGGAAGCACCTGCTCTCTGCTGGACACAGCAAACTGTTTCAGACTTAATATCTGCCCAACTCTGCAAGATTGGAATTACGATGATTATTCTCGCCTTGCAGAGGTGGGACTCCAGGGCTCCAGGGATGTGAGCTGCTCAACCTGGAAGGGACACTGGCATTGAAATCTAGGCCCATCGGGACCCTGAGCCTCAGTTCTGAACCCCCTCCCCTGGCACGTGGGGGCTAAAGGGATCCCCCTGCACCCAGGCTGGCACTTACAGGGTTGTAGTGGCAGCCTAGGGGTGGGTCTGGGAAGTTGTTAGGGATCCTACTCCCTCTGCAGCCAGGTCCTTCAACAGCTCCTGCTTGGCTCAGGACCTGGCAGGTGGGGTGCACTTGTTTCTGGGTCCCAAACTCCCTGCTTCTTTTCTGTATGCTTGTGGACATGTGAATAGGTTACCATGGCAGTCTAAGCAGCTGAAGATCTTGTTTTGGGACCAAACTTGCTGGCAGCCGCCAGCGCCCCTAGGGGGTGTGCCCTGCCCTTGCACCCAGGAGACCTTGAAGCTTCTGGTAAACCTCAGGCCCTGATGCACCTAGGGTGGAGGGTGTGGACAGGAGAGTTCTCTGCAGACTCCAAACTCCAGAAAACCGTGCAGAGGACAGATCCATGGCCACAGTATTCTAGATCCTTCTGAAGCCCCAGAGCACCCAGATGGGCTGGTTTTCAGGAAGACAGGATGGCAGGGACAGGCCATGGGGATAGAGTACTTGGGGGGAGAGGACGACTGGGTGCCCAGGGAGCGTTATCCCTGTTTCCCTCTCTCTCCAGGGCCTGGGCCTTTCAGTGGGAGAAGCTAGAAGGCCACTGCCCAGGCCCCCAGAGGTTCCCAGAGCCCATAGGTACAGGGAGGCCTTTCCTGACAGCCTGTGAACACCCCTCCGCTCCCCGCAGCCTTTGCCCTGCAATGGTTATGTCCTCAGCATGACCAGGCTACAAGGAACGACACAACATCTTAGCTGTTCCCCGACTTCTCTTACTAACAGGCAAGCTCCCTGAGGAGATTCGAGCTTGTTTTGCGTATTACTGTATCCTGGAAGTTCCGTGACCAGATAACTCGTCTGCAGGAGGCCTGGGTGGGAGAGACCCCTCCTGGTGAGGAGGGTCAGCAAGGCAACAGGGAGACCAGAAGGAGTGGCCAGGTCTGGCAAGGAGAGGCGTGTACACGTGTGCACACACACACATATGCACACGTGTGTAAGGAATCCCAGGCAGGGAGCCCTGGACATAAACCCAGGGTGGAAGCCCCACCCAGTGTCTGCACAGCTGAACAGCTGAGGGAAGACGCAAGGCCCCACCAGGCTGCCAGGCCGTCCCGGCTCACCTGAGAGATATTTGACCTGAGCCATCACATACAGGGGGCTGATCAGGGCCGGCAGGGCTTTGACCACAGGGTTCAAGATCACCGCGACTTGCTTCAGCAGTGGAGACACGACCTGGCCCGGCAAGCGAGGCTGGAGGAACACGGCAGGGCTGTGTGGTCTGGCCTGGTCTTTGTTTTCACTAGAGGGCACATGTGCAGGCCAGAGAGAGAGCGAGAGAGGAGAGCTCCCCAGCCCCACCACACGGGGAAGGGTCCCCCTGCAGTCCCATCCCTTCTCCATCCCTCTCTCTGCCCTGTGGGGATTTTGCACATACGTGTGCACACGCACGCACCTGATCTGGGACTCAAACCACACAGCTGGCCATGTGGCATTTTTGTTGTTGTTGTTCTGTAGAGGTTTTTGCTATAGGGAGTGTGTGCTCGCCAGACAGACAGAGAGAGACAGACAGAAAGCGAGAAATCACCCCGCCAGAGGGGTGGCCATGCCGCAATCCCTTTTCCTCCATTCTCCTCTCGGGATCTTGGGCACACACACACACATGCTCCCGGCGTTGAGTTTAAGCCACCGGGTCTGGGACTCGAACCGCAGTCGACTACATGGGAGTCCAGCGACGGACGTAGCCATTACGCTAACTGCTGGTTCCGGCCATGTGGAATTTGGTTGCCTTAACTACCAGGCCACAGAGCTGGCCCTAATTATCCCCCTTCTAAAAAAGGCTCCTGAGTTCTCAGAAGACATTTGCAGCAAAGGAAGCTTCCTTTACTGCACACTGATTATCCACGCTGTAGCGCTGCAGGCCGGAGCATGAGCCCAGAGAATGGGGGTTGGCTCCGGGCACCTAAAACGGTGCCTGGCACACTCAGCAGGGCACTCGATCGGTATTTGTTGGCCGGCTCCTTACGTGGCCCTGGAAGGGTATTAGCATGTGTGGAAATATGACCCTTTACCACAGGGAATCCTGACTGGCTGGGAGAGCAGGACGGGCCAGTCAAGGTGAACGCTTCTGGGTGAAAGGGAGCCGGGTTCTAGTCTAGATAAAGGCAGGGGATGGGCCGCGGCTCTGCTCCCCCAAGCGTGGTCTCTGGACTGGCCATATTAACGTCACTGTGGGCTTGCTGGACATTTAAGCTTTGGGCCCTCCCTGTGGAGTCAGGCCCTACGCTGGGACAACCTCCCAGGTGATTCGTGTGTTGTGCGTTCAAGTCTGAAAGGCGCTGGGCTCCCCGATGGCCCAAGGCCCAGTCCAGACTGGTGGCTGGCCCAGTAATGTCCCTGCCCCTGTTCTCGGGGTGGGCACCATCCAAACCTGTGGCCCAGACTCCTGCCACGAAGACAGACCTTCCCCTACCTGCTTGGGGCAGAAGAACAAGTACTCCTTGGCAATGAGGACCAGGAAGAGGGGGTCCAGCTTCTCAAAGTACTCGCAGCCCAGGGCCAGGCCCTGCATGTGGGAGAAATGGAGCTCCACCGCCTCAGTCAGGAGTGCCGTGGCTTCCTGCTCCCCCTTGTGCTTCTTGGATGCCAGAAGGGCTTGGAGGAAAACTAGAACCTGCAGGAGAGAGGCCCGAGCCTTGGCATCCACGCCGGCCTGGGCAGAACTGATGGGCATGGGTAAATGGAGGCCCAGGCTGCCTGGGCTGCTTCCAATTGGACACAGCATGGGGGGTGGGGGAGCGATCCATGCCTCCAGGGAGCTCTGACCTTGGACTTGCCCAGGGACTGCTGTACTTCCCTCAGGAACTCCAGCTGGTTTGCAGCCTCCTCCAGGTGACCCTGTAAGATCTGGCACCAGATGACCCCTGTAAATGAGACAGAGTGAAGGTGAGGCCCCAGTGCCAGGGCAGAGCCAGCAGTCCATCAGGAAATCTTTCCCAATGTCTCATAGACTTTTTTTTTTTTTTTTGGAGAGGTTTTTGCTATAGGGCATGTGCGCTTGCCAGAAAGTCAGAGAGAGACAGAGAGATAGAAAGCGAGAAATCACCCCCAGGGGGGATGGCCACGCCGCAATCCCTTCTCCTCCATTCTCCTCTCGGGATCTTGGGCACACACGCACACGGGCCTGGCATGAGTTTAAGCCACCGGGTCCGGGACTCGAACCGCGGTTGACTACATGGGAGTCCAGCAACATGGCCATTACGCTAACTGCTAGTTCCTCCTTCGAACATTTTTGTAAGTATTTATATGTGTTATTAATGTATGTATCCAGGTACATACAACTCAGACATATTTCTATATTTATATTAACACATAATAGCATGCCAGTGGGTTTAAAACACACACACACACACACACACACACACACAGAATCGGATTCCATGTAGCCATCCTATATCCACCATGTTTCTCGAACTGTGAGGTCGGGATTTGAACCATGTGGTTGGCCATGTAAGATCTGGTTGCCTTAACCACAAGGCCACAGAGCTGGCCCTACTCACTTCTTTTTTATTAATTAACTAATTATTGCCAGAGGGCTTGTGCATTTGTCAGAGAGAGAGAAAGAGAGGCAGAGAGAAAGCGCCCCCTAGTGGGGCGAGGTCGTGCCACAGTCCCTTCTCCATTTCTCCATCCTGTCGGGATTTGGGGCATGCACTCACGCATGCCTGGCGTGCTTTTCTAAGCACTAGGGCGAGGTTCGTACAGTGGTCAGCCAGGTGGGGTGAGCTCCAGTGAACGGCACTAAGCCTCATCCACGAGGCCGGGCGTGCTTGTCTCGTTAGCTGACCCCTCTCTGCCTGTGCTCCCTTAGACCTTGCTAGAGCTGCTTAGGATCTCCACCTTTCCACAAGTTTGATACCACTTGCCTTACATCATTTACAAATGGAAAGTTCTCCCTAGTTCCTGGTCTGAGGAAGGTCACTTTCCCAGTTTCTGCAATGGACTCATGCTAGTTTGTTGTTGGTGTTGTTTTATTGATTTACTAGAGGGTGTGTGTGCTTGCCAGAGAGAGGGGGGGAAGCACTCCCCTACAAGGATGGCCACTGTGCAGGCCCTTCTCCTCCATTGTCCTCTGGGGATTTGGGGCATGCATGCAAACACACTTGGAGTATTTTTCAAGTCGCTGGGTGCAGGACTCAGACAGTACAGTTGGCCATGTGGGAGTCAGCTACCTTAACCACCAAGCCACCAGCTGCTTCAAGACTCACTACCTTTAAAAATGTCTTGGGATCAGCAGATGGCATAATGATCACATTGCTGGACTTCCACATAGTCAACCACTATGTGGAAGTGGTTCGGGTTCGAGTCCTGGACCCGGTGGCTTAAAACTTATGCTGGGCACATGTGCATGCATGCTCAAAATCCCAAGAGAAGAATGGAGGAGAAGGGATAAAAAAACCCCCCCCCCCATCCCCTGGGAGATGATTTCTCTCTGTCTGTCTCTCTGGCACACCCTCTAGAAAAAAAATCTCTCAAAACATTTTTTTAAATTTAAAAAATAAATAAAAATAAAAAAAAAGGGTTTCAGGCCAGCAGGTGGCGTGGTGGTTATGGCTCTGAACTCCCACATGGCTGACAACAGTTTGAGAGTTTGAGCCCCAGACTCAGTGGCTGAGAGATCATGCTTGGCACGTGTGCATGCGTGCCCAACATCCCAAGAGAAGAATGGAGGAGAAGGGATTGTGGTGTGGCCATCACACCTGGGGGGTGATTTCTCATTTTCCCTCTCTCTGTCTCTCTGTCTCTCTCTCTCTCCAGTGAGTACAAATACCCAATAGCAAAAACCTAAAAATAAATTAATTAATAAATTAATAAAGAAATAAGAAATAAGAAAAAAAAATGCCTTTTGTTATTTTTGTGGGATTTGGAATCACAGGGAGGAATGGATCTGGGGGTCAGCTTGACCTGTTGAACCAGAAAAGTCGAGATCAACCACTCTCACAGTCATGCTATACATATGAGGAGCCTAGATTTTAGAGAGAAATAGGCCACTGGTAGCCTGGTGGTTAAGGCAGCTGCATCACAAAGGATTGACTATGAGGTTCGAATCCCAGACCCAGCAGTTTGAAAAACATGCTGGGCAGATGTGCATGCCCAAAATCCTTACAGGAGGGAGAAATGGAGAAGGGATTGTGGCAATACCATGCCTCTTGGGGAGGGGGGGCGATGTCTCGCTCTCTCTTGTTATTTCTATCTTGTGACTGCATGTACTCTGGGACAAGTTTTTTTTTTTCAATTTAACTTTTTAATTTATTCATTCATTTATTTTAATTTGACCAGAGAGACAGAGAGAGAAAGTGGGAAAGCAAGCCACCAGGCCTGGGACTTGAACCATGGTCCGTCATGTAGGAATATCTAGCGCCTTAACCACCACGCCACCTGCTGGCCCCTGGGACAAAATCTTTAGCCCAAACGAAACATTGCTAACTCAGGATTCATCAGATACTAAGGATTTTTTTAAAAAAATTTTTAAAAATTTTTTATATTTTTATTTTTTGGAGAGATTTTCACTATAGGGTGCGTGCGCTCACCAGACAGAGAGAGACATAGAGACAGAAAGCGAGAAATCACCCCCCAGGGGGGATGGCCACGCCGCAATCCCTCCTCCTCCATTCTCCTCTTGGGATCTTGGGCACGCACGCACACGCGCCCAGCGTGAGTTTTAAGCCACAGGGTCCGGGACACGAACCGCGGTCGACTACGTGGGAGTCCAGCGACATAGCCATAGCCATTAACTGCTGGTTCCCAGATACTAAGGATTTTTCAAACAGGTATAAAATGAAAATAAGGCTCTGAAAAGTTCATTTGACGTTTATAGAAAGGATAACTAACGCGTCTGGTCAGAGAGGGAAGTGCAACTCCCCAGACCACTCCGGTGGCCTTTCAGCTGCAGGACCTGCAGAGCGAAGGTCAACCGAGGTGAGTCCAGAGACTGCATGGGCGTGGGGAGGAGGGCTGTCTCCAACACCGGCCTGCGGGCCTGCTGAGTATGAGGTTCGGGCTGTCAGTCTTCCAGGGGAATTAGAGTGTGGACACCGAGGTCAGATGGCGATCATCTCTCATGAAAAGATGCCCCGTCCCACACTGCACCTGCGACCTCGCACCCTTTGGGGAGAATGTACCCCCACCCCTCCTCCGGCCCTGGGAAGGCTACCCTGGGTGGCTCCCGGCGCCCACCCTCTGGCCCGCCCCGCCTAGACCTGTCAGAACCGCCACACTGTTCTCGTCCAGCTTCATGGCCTTCATGTACCACGAGGATGCCTCCTTCACTTGGCTGTGCAGGATGAAGAGGTAGCCCAGCTCCGTGGCCACGCGGGCGGAGGAGGGGGTGGCCATGAAGGTGCGCTCCATGAAGCTGCACACGAGCTGCAGGACCGCCTGGTGCTGCCCGCACTGCGAGAAAAGGCAAGGGGGACGGGGAGACCCGTCAGCACAGCTGTCTGGGCAAAGCCATGTCTGAAATGGGGCCCCTTTGGCACGGCCGGGTGAGCTCAAGAGAGGCCAAGAGGGTCCCTGTGTCCAGGCAGCTGGGTCTGCGGAGTTGTCCAGGCCCCAGGGAACCTTCTGCTGCCACATCTGTGAAGCTTGCCTCCAGCCACAGGCTCCTCCAAGAGACCCCCCACCCCATCCCCGTATGGCGACGGTAATTGAAGTTTCAGGCTTTGTGCCAAGTGCTAAGAAGTGTCCCTGAAGGCTGTGACCAGTGACATTCCTTGTCACAGTGGAGGATAAGGCAGACAGAATGTGA